GTCATGAGAACCCTGTCTCAATGACTATTCACGAAAGACTCAGTCACGAGTCGAACTCAAAACCCTATCTAGGATCGAGTCGCGAATAAGGCTAAGAGCCGTGTATTGCAAGAGTTCCGTAACATTCTTCTAGGACAGAAGATTGTCGTACATACGGACGACAAGAATCTTACATGTAAGAACTTCAATACCGATCGCGTAATGCGATGGCGCCTTATTCTGGAAGAATACGGCCCTGAATACGGTACATCAAGGGCGAACACAACATTGTCGCCGATGCGTTGTCGAGACTTAACATCTCCAACAATGATGGTTCTTCAGAACAGATGGAAGCCAGCGAGATCGCTGAACTCATGGCTGCAGACGAAGAGGACTTCCCTAGCGAGTTCCCTCTCTCGTTCCCCGAGACGAAATCGTCAGAAGACGACAACGATATCAAAAACTCCTCAGGGACAACAAACGACTACAAGAAGCAATCTTTCCCCAGAGGGGATAATTCTTACAACTTAGTAGTCAAAGACGACAAGATCGTCGTACCTAAGACTATGCAGAAGAAGCTAGTCGAATGGTACCATGGTGTACTGATGCATCTGGCGAGACTCGCACAGAACTGACCATCAGCCAACACTACACCTGGAAAGGACTGCGCAAGACTGTGCAGGCCGTATGTCAGCGTTGCCAGAGCTGCAGATAAACAAACCCAAAACGCGTAAGCTGGGATTGATGCCTCCAAAGACTTGTGAGGAGATCCTTGGGAAAGACTATGTATTGACCTGATAGGTCCTTACAACGTCGGGGATCCTAAGAAAAAGAATTCTGCACAATTCATTGCTTGAAATGATTGATCCCGTAACCGGATGGTTCGAGATTGCAAGATCTGCTCCAAGCAGCAGACGAAGTAGCCTCGTCCTAGAACAAACGTGGCTTACTCGGTATCCATGGCTGGCTGAGGTTATCAATGGATAGAGGACGTGAGTTCCGCAGAGGTCGAAAAGACTCTGCGGGATGAATATGGAATTCGTCGCAAGTTCATACACACGCGTAACCTCAAGCCAACTCTATGGCGAGCGTGCTCATCAGACCCTACGCAACTTGATCGCTGTTCAAAACATCAAGTGCCAAGACGACCTCGTGAATGGATCCTGGGATGGAGTCCTCACGGCGGTTCGCTTTGCAATGAATGCCACGATTCATACCACCTTGCGTGCAATGCCCGCGCAGCTCGTGTTCAATCGTGACGCGATTCAAAACGTCCGGTTCGAAGCCAACTGGAAGTACATCAAGGAACGTCACCAACGACTAATCCAACAAAACAACGATAGGGAAAACGCGACGCGTGTCCCTCATCAATACAATGTCAACGATACCGTGATTATTCAACAGTATCAGCACCGCAAGTACGGTCAGCCAAAGTACAAAGGTCCTTACACTATAGACCGAGTCAATGACAATGGCACTGTACGGCTCCGACATGCTACCGCCAATGGCGGCACAGTCTACCAGGGTTTGAGTTCGACTCATGACTGAGTCTCTCGTGAATAGTCATTTGAGACAGAGTTCTCAATGACCGCTCTAGTCATACTAGGTTGATGATGAAACATCGCTTTAGATATTTAGCCAGCGTGGAGTACTTCCACGCTACTAGATAAATGCTAGACGAATCTTCCACGCGTTCCGTTTTTGGATCGTGGAGTGAGTAGGATTGCTACTGCAACCTACTCTATCACACTCTACAGTCTCCCGCGGGAGAGCAGATCTACGATCCCTTGATGATGATCTCTCTCGTTGATTAGTTTTCATAGCTTTCTAATCTCTCTTATAACTTTCATTCTCTCAAACTCAAAACACTCGAAAGATCTTTACACTAGCTTTTAGCGTAGTGCAATGGCATCTCTTCAAGTGGATACGGGGAGATCCAGAAGAACATGCTATCATCCAGTGGGTCATCTTGTACGGCTGGCAACAGTCGCCTTGGAACTGGTTGGGTGCGAGGAGTCTCCAACAAAGAGGGTGATCGACTCGTGGATTCATCCATTGGAGAGCCTCGCCTTGCTGACGATGGTGTGGTTGGCGGTAACGGCGATGTGACCATTGCGTCGTCAGGATTCTCATTGCGTGGAGTGCTAGAATTTGAAGCTGATGCGGTTTGAGATCTCTGCGTCAATGGAGAGACTGAGAAACTTGTTGCATCATCAATTCCGATTGTGCTCACAGGTGGTGGTCGGTTTCGCTTTGACTTTGTTATTGCCTCCTTTTCTACCTTCTGTTTTCGTCGCAAGCATTTCTGATACTGTGCTCTCCATTTGACAATGCCCTGTTGGCTCTTTGGTGGAACCCCAACAAGCAGCATTGCGTCCACCAGAGTAATTCCAACAAGTGGGGCAACAGGATTCTTGATGATATTGTCTGGATGGCGCTTCATGACAGAAAGAAGCTGCACTGCTCGACTGACCATGGCATCTTCATTGGTAGATACATTTGATGCCCCATGTTTCAGAGCATACGATCTCATTAAACGTCCAAGGCTTTCAGTCGATTCGGTTGCAGTTGCTTGCTCGACCCGCATTCCCACAGAATAGAGAGCTTTTGATCTGTTAAAGTTGGGAAGCAGCAATCTCACTTTCAGGGCCTCCTTGAGAAGACGGGCTTCGTCGGACTCCGCCATGCTTGAGGAGAAGCGGTGGAGCAGAGCAATCGAGGATCACGATCGATAGTGGCAATCAATCGATCAAAATGACAAATTGGGGTGTGTTGATTGTCGTGTTAGCTTGCGAGTCTGGCTTTCCCCTACAACAACATGCATCCCCAAGGCATCTGAATGGACTTGCCGAGCCCGACATGGTTGTGCTTCACCTAAAAGCCGCGGCAAAAGCAAGCGCCATCTTCAAATGATGTTTCGATGTTTCGATCAATTGCTTGTTGTGGTTGCTTGACAGGAGGTGTGGTTGGATTCAAAGGGGAAAGTTAAATCTCTTGGTGTTGCACTAAATCTTTGAGTCTAATTCTAAACATGACACAGATCGAAAGCAAGATCGGAACATAAAAACCTGAGTGCCGTATATGACTAAAAGCAAACAGCATACTGTACACGCATATACCGTATATCGTATTTTGTCATTATACGTGTACCGGCAGTGTCGGCGGTTAAACAGCAGTGGGGTTAGGGTTATGATAACAAAACCCGCTACTTTACCAGGAGCGGTGGGGAATGGTGGATTTTGCCAAAATCAGCGAGTTTCGCGGTTTTTCCACGATTCGCGGCAGCCACAAAACTGAGACAAAAACGCCACTTTTCCGCGAGTTTCCGCGAGTTTCCGCGAGTTTCGCGGTTTTAGGGTTTCAATCCCGAGCTCTTGGTCATGCATACAACGACTACGGGACTCGAAACCGCGAATTTCGCGGTTAAACCGCAAATTTCGCGCTTATCTCGCGATTTTCTCGCGTTTTTCTCGCGCCGTCCTGGTGGCACTGCCGCGAAAACAGCCAAAACGGCCAATCCACCATTCCCCACCACTCCAGAACACAAACCACAAACACACAACATCGTGCCACTCCCCTCGAGCTCTGTCCCCATCCTCATCTTAGCTCTCTCTAATCCATAGTAAAGTCCACCAATAACGACAAACACACAACAATGACAACGCCAGCAACAAAATGCCGCTACCTTACCCTGTTGTGATTGTTGCTTCTTAAAGGTGGGTAAGACGATGTCCGCGCCAGTGATCAACGAGGAAGGCAAATTGTTGACAAAGGTCAAAGTTGGGGATTCCAAATTACAGGCTTTGCAGCGGCTTGGGCAAAAAGCTGGAATATTGGACGACAAGGAGGGCATCGGTCTTCTCGATGATGATATCATCTCCGCGAAATTATCAAGGGACTAGGCCGGCCGCTGCAAAGGAATGCCTACGATGAGCCTGCTCAACAACAACAGCAGCAAGGTCAAGGGATACCAGCAGGCAGCAGGGGCGCCACGCAGACGTCAAAATGTGAGGGTTTTTGACGGTTATTTTTCGGTTTTCGGAAATGGGAACCCGGAAGTGGTCATTTCGCGAATCGTGCATGTTCGGCAAACAGCAGAACAGAGAAGAATAACAAAGAAAAGATTGAAATTTACCACCATGGCAACAGTTTTGGCCAAATGGTCTCTAGCTTATCCATTACATTGAAATAGCTAATGCTTTCAGAGAAGCAGCTCCCCAACACACTCACAGACACTCTCCTTGAAAAGCATTAGCTATCTCCAAGGCTTGTCATGGAGCTCAGCAGAGAATTCCTGGCTGGATTGGTGGTTGATCTCCTTGATGCCGACAAGGTAGACAATGTCTCTCCCTTCAAGGACTGTTGGTTGACCATTGATGCCCTCAAAGCAGTCATCTGTAAGAGATACAATGTAGAACCAGAGGATGTGGCCACAGGGGAATTGTCAAAGGCAATGGAGGAGTACAAGACTGGCAAATCGCTCCGCTTCCAGCGCCATTGTCGAGGCGTCGTTGTTGCATAAGCCGTAGCCGCTTGTTGTTGTGGTCACTCTGTGATAGTAGCGCTCCGTTCGCTCGTGAAAGAGGCGTCATGGTCGCTCCGTGGAAACAGGAAGAACGATCGAACGACCAAACGATCGAACGGCTGCCACTTGCGCGTTCCACTCTAGCCAAACAAGAGGAGCCTGTCATGGTGGTGAGTAGTAGCCTTTGTTAAGAGGCTGTAAAGAAGAGGAGATAGCATCATCTTGATAGAGTCAATAGAGAGTAAAGATAGAGGTATCGAAATAATGAAAGAGGTGTACGAGTGGCTTGGATCGATCGAACGATCCGAGTGATGTCAGTTGAGTTTAAGGTTAAGGCTATATGTCCCTTAAGTCTTTTCACGGAACGTTCTGGATCGCATTCGAATGTCGTACCGGGAGCGGGCTTGCGTTTGCGTCAATTGATCCGAGTCTGCTGGTAGAACGTTTTCAACCCTTGTTGCTGTCGCAAGGTATCACTCCAATCCCTCAGATTATGATGCAATTGATTAAGCATTACGCGGCGTCTATTCCCCTTATTGTGGAACCAGTTGCGGCGGCCGATCTCTACAACACGGCGTCGAGAATCCCACGATCGGCGACAGAAACTGTCCTCCGTGAGCGAGGCATATCAGTGGATCAACCTTTCCGTGCATCAGATCCGTCCAAGGCTGTCCTTTTGCAAGCTTTCCGAGATGGGTATCCGATGATTCTCAAGGTATCTGCACCGATAAGTATCAACCACGAAATAAGAGTTATGGAAAAAATCAAAGATGACGCCGACAAAAACAATCTTGTTGTCATCGAAGAGGTACAAATCGAAAGCGCTACGATGGGATCACCGATGAAAATGGTGGCCTTTCTGTTCCATATGCTGGAGTGCGGTCAGGACTCCTGATGAAGCATTTCCAAACCACCCTCTTTCAAATAATCAAAATTCCACTGACAGAAACAGTTCTGTTGAAATATGGCAACCAGCTGAAGCGCGTCATTCAGCACATGCACGAGAATGGCTATTGCCACTTGGATATCAAGCCGTCCAATGTCTTCTTACTAGAAGGAAATTGCTACCTTGGTGACTACGGTGCGCCCTTTCCAATCGGACAAGAAATCATAGATCATAGAATGTACACGGAACTACTACCCCACGGACTTTCCTTCTTTGGCTGAGAAAAAGACTTTACTTGTTGTTCGCCAAGACTTTGTTGGAAAGAACAGACAGCCGAAGGCTGATGCCCTCAACTGTCAAAAAAGAGATTTGATTCTTTGGCCAAATCCAACACTGTGTTCAACTGAACACACAGTCTAGAGTGATCTGCACTATAAGACCCGCTACAGATTAAGACCATAGTAATATTCTTGGATTTGTACAGTAAGTTCTATAGTAACAGGTACATACGACCTAGCTAGCTACTACGCCATCCAGCTACTAGCTAGCTAGCTAGCTAGCTACCGGTAGAGGGTAGACCCACCACACGTATCCACTCCTGGTGAGCCACTATCGTGCATCTTTAACTCAAGCCGTGTGGTGGTGTTGAGTGTTGGCTGTGTCGATAGAAGCAGTGTCGATACCGTTAGGGGAAGGAAGGTACCGGTAGACAAGAGGTGCTTCGAACGATGCAGTTGCTTCAAACCATACACGTAGAGGTACGAAGTAGCTATGTATCCAAGAGCAACAAAGCAAGAGTGTGGATAGAGGTGCTTCAATAGGTGCCTACATGTATGTGCTTCGAGACCTCTACTTGGGCCCTGTAGTTTTCTCTGGATAGAGCACGGTACCGGTACAGTAAGATCCTACGTAGACTTAGTACTAGAGGCTACGTGTGACGTCATTTGGTCTTAATCTGCAGGGAAAAAGAATTCCCCGTGAGTGGGTCCATATCTTCAACCCCCCGTAACTCCACCAATAAGTACACTATGGAGTTGCGAAATTTATGGCATACTCAACTACATGTGCTCTATGGATTCCCCTACTTAACACTGTCAATTCGATATCCAGCTCCGAAGAGGATATTCCGCGAAACGGTCCGTCTTAATGTGCAGATCACTCTACTGTAGTCTATCGATAGCCAACCAAAACACACACATTGGTACTCGGAGTATGTTTTACCAGCAAACAATTAATATTTACCTCATCCTTTATGACGGACGTACAGACTAACTTGCACACATACTCTGGTACTCGGAGTATGTTTTACCTGCTAACAATTATTATTTACCCCATCCTTTATGGCGGACGTACATACTAACTTGCACACACACATAGTTTGGTACTCGGAGTATATTTTACCAACTAACAATTATTATTTACCCCATCCTTTATGCCGGACGTACAGACTAACTTGCATACACATACAGCGATAAAAGTGTGAAAGACCCTCAGTCCGTTGAGGGCAAAAGTGTGAAAGACCCTCAGTCCGTTGAGGGAAATATCATACGATTTTAGCAAAAAGTGACTGAATTAAGTAGTTTTACTCTTGATCAGCACAAACTGCCGAATCGCCAAAACACAAGCTTTACTCTGTGGTAACTTTTCGGTTGTTTGACTTTTTCATCCCCCTTGGGAATCATCAGTGCTTGGGCTATTGTGGTACTTATGAAATCGAGGTTTATGTCGGCATGCTCCGTATATTTCGTTGCAGGAGTTGATCAGGTTTTCTGGCGATTCTCTAGATCGTGCAATACACGGCTCTTAGCCTTATTCGCGACTCGATCCTAGATAGGGTTTGAGCTCGACTCATGACTGAGTCTCTCGTGAACTGTCATTTGAGACAGGGTTCTCAATGACCGCTCTAGTCATACTAGGTTGATGATGAAACATCGCTCTAGATATTTAGCCAGCGTGGAGTACTTCCACGCTACTAGATCCATGCTAGACAAATCTTCCACGCGTTCCGTTTTAAGATCGTGGAGATACGTAGGATTACTACCGCAACCTACTCTATCACACTTTATAGTCTCCCGCGGGAGACCAGATCTACGATCCCTTGATGATGATCTCTCTCGTTGATTAGTTTTCATAGCTTTCTAATCTCTCTCATAACTTTCATTCTCTCAAACTCAAAACACTCGAAAGATCTTTATACTAGCTTTTAGCGTAGTGCATTTTGTTAACAAACACAATAGCTTTCAGCTACCCTCAACCTATTCCTTCACCATGAAGATGGCTCAAGGAAAGCACGCGTTCAGCAGCTTCGAGAAACAGTTGCGTGACAAACCCATTCTTCCTCCCGTCGACAATGACGAAGACACCGAGATCGACGATACTCGTGCAACCACCTGCAAACTTCGCAACCATGTTGCCAAGCGCAAAGCAGAAGACTCTAATAACGAGGACAACTCCTCTATCGATTTCAATCACTTGGATGGAGAAATCTCCATCTGAGGATTAGGCCAGGATGATGACTCAACGGAACCATGTTCCGATTTCTCATACCAAAGTGATGAAGATATCTCACTAACTAGTAAACAAAAATTGTTTGCAACCGATGAACTCTACGGCAAATTAGATGATTGCCTAGAAGCTGCTCAACTAGACTCTGATGATCTATTTAGCATCGTTAACCTCGTCCGTGGCCAACCACCTCGTAAACGTCGTAAGACAAGAGACCTCAAACCTATCGTCTACCGGTATGTTAGATTTAACAAGCGAGAAAAAGGGAAACCAAAACCCGTTACGCTCCGTTGCTTACTGGATACAGGAGCATCCGGAACTTTGATTGCTCAAACTCATGCTAAGAAATTACGCATGAAGGATCTTGGGGGCGTCCAAACCATGTGGACTACCCCTGCAGGAGAATTAAACACCAGCACGAAGTGCAAAGGTGCATTCACAATTCCTGTGCAATACACGGCTCTTAGCCTTATTCGCGACTCGATCCTAGATAGGGTTTGAGTTCGACTCATGACGTAGTCCTTCGCGGAATTGGACTTCGGTTTCTCCAGAAGTCACATCGCGTGGAGAACGGCGTTTACAGCAATTTGTCGTAGGGTTGTTGTGACGCACGGCACGATGGCCTGCACACCCAGCTTCGTAGGCACTCTTCGCAGAGCTGGAAGTCATCTCCTTGAGAGGCGATGTTTGTCGTCGGCACAGCAAGGTTGAGTCCAACGCAAGACTTCTCCATATTCGTAGCCCACTTGATGGTCTGACGGGAGTGTTGGAGAACCATTGATGATGGCTACCTTGAAGGTGTATTTGGCACTGTTGATCTGCAGGAACGGTGCGATTTGTAGGTGGTTGCACGAGTATCGTCGATCTCGTTTCTTCGTCATTGTCGACGAGAGAGAATGGGTTTGTCACGCAATGTTTCTCGAAGTTGCGGAAGCATGCTTTCCTTTAGCAATCTTATGGTGAAGGAATAGTTGAGGTAGCTGAAAGCTATTGTGTTTGTTAACAAAATGCACTACGCTAAAAGCTAGTGTAAAATCTTTCGAGTGTTTTGAGTTTGAGAGAATGAAAGTTATGAGAGAGATTAGAAAGCTAGAAAACTAATCCATGAGAAGATCGTTGTAAGCTCTGAGTTGGTCTCCCGCGGGAGGCTGAAGTGTGATAGAGTAGTTATGTATAATCTACGTACTCCACGGTCCATTCCGGAACCGTGGAAACTTCAGCTAGTAGCTGTCTAGTAGCTGGAAGCTTTCCACGCCGGCTAAATATCTAGAGCGATGTTTCATCGACAACCTAGTATGACTAGCGTCATGAGAACCCTGTCTCAATGACTATTCGCGAAC